CCAATAACACTGATCACAGGCTGTCCTTCAAAGTAGCCAAACGACTATCCTTGCTATTTGTCATTAGGACAGTCTATTGATAATATAACTGGAGTCTTGCTTTCCTGCTTCTTAGGCATTTTTTTTCTCAGGCTGTTTTCAGATTCTGCTTTCATCTACCAATTCTTTTCCCCTCCCTGGATGTATTTTTAGTCTCATATTGCTACTAAATCTATTTTTGCAACTGCTTTGATGGCAGGCTTCTTAAATTATTAATGAAATTGTTTGTCACTTCATCGCTTCCTGATTATTTGCCCATGTTTTTCAAATAATATATAATGCTAAATGACTGTGGCTGGACTGTTGTGTAAAAAAGGTATTGATAGGCATATTTCTGCAGTTGAGCAAATGATAAAAGTAGCATTTCCCTTGAGGCTGCATATCACTAGGAGTCTAGTTAAAATGCACCATCACATCAGATTCAGCCGGTTCTCTCAGGTTTGGGTGAACCAGTAGCAGCAACTGCGGGAGGCTCCGCCCACCCACCCTGATGTAATGTGCAGGCGCAGAAGGTGATGCGCAGGTGCAGCACGTGCAAGTGAAGTGATCACATTTGTGAACCGATAGGGAAGGTAAGTGAATCCCACCGCTGCATCACATATGGATTTACAGATCTGTAAATCTGTAGCCTGTAGTTTCTTCCTTGGCTAGAGATCCATAGCCAAGGAAGAGATAAATCAGTTTTGTCATGAAAAAGGGGTGGGGTGGGGTGGGGTGGGGTGGGAATCTTCTCTCTACCCTGTCACCCACACTGGGCATAGAATGCTCCTATCAGGGCTGCAGACCAGCTGGCAGAGCCAGCTTTTAAGGCTCTTCCCGAAGGAGGCCAGGATTGTGGGAGCTGACCTCGCCTCCAGTGAGAGAATATTTTAGAGGGCGGGGCCACAGCAGAAACCACTCTTTTCCTGGACCCTGCTACAGAGGTAGTATTCAGGTTCTGGAGAATCGGTAGCAAAAAAATTGAGTAGTTTGGAGAACCAGCAAATAGGCTGGCTCCGTCCCCCTCTGCCTCCCAGCCGATCTTCTTTTGTTGCCCTGAACATGAGAATGGAGCTGGAAAACAGGTTAGTGGGGTGGGGAGGGAATGGGGATTTTGTAGTAACCTTCCCCTGCCATGCCCACCAAGCCACGCCCCCCCAAGCCATGTTATGCCCACAGAACTGGTAGTAAAAAATTTGAATCCCACCACTGCCCTGCTAGTTGAAATTTTTCAGCAGGTGGGATTTGACAGGGGGTCAACCATTCTCCAAAGCACCAGAAGGCAAGACAAGAAGCAATAGATGGAAACTAATCAAGGAGAGAAGCAACCTAGAACGAAGCAAAAATTTCCCAACAGTTAGAGAATTTAATCAGTGGAACTCCTTGTCACCCAAAGCTTTGAGTGCATCAACACTGGAGTGTATGTATGTATGTATGTATGTATGTATGTATGTATGTGGCACCCATCTTACCGCAGTTACATCTAACCTAAAACATAACAAGTTAAAATCAAACATTAAAACTAAAGACACATGGGAAGGGTGGGGCGGAATGGCAGGGGGGGGATGGGATCTATNATTATGTGAATTATTAAATAACTTGCATTATCATTATGTGCAATCCAGGGAGCTCAAACAGTGTGAATCAATTTAATTGCTTGTGGTTTTTATTGGCTACACCACTTTTCTCTCTTTGACCTGCCCTGTTACTGATTGCTGATACTTATTTTCCCTTGCAAAACCACTCAACAGATTCTGAAATCATTTTCCCTCTAGCATATATGGATTTTTCAAAATAAAGGAGACCAAATCACTCAGAGATATTGCACTACATAATGTAGACGATAACCTCCCTTTTATAAACCCTCTCAGTTTGCCTTTTTTGCAGATGTATAATATTTGCACTCCAAAGGTCTGAATATAGGTTATTTTTTCAACAATTTAATTCCCCATTTATGTGGTTGTCTAATATACCATTCCACAGACCATACTGTGCACCTGTTTCATATGGTTTTGGTGATGGAAAAAGGTAATATATCATTTAAAAAATGGTTTTGGGTCATCAAGGCTTATTGTACCAAATAGCAAGTCAATGCTCCTGGTTGCAGAAATATGCTGTTCTTTGTTTTGTCAGTAATCAGATAAAATACTATTTTTTACTTCAACATCTTTGTTGAACAGATATTCTCTAGCTTAGTCTGAAATGCAAGACATGCTTGGCTTAGTCCGTGTGTTTTGGCAAGTGAATGCTTGGTTCTGACTGTCAGTTAGGTGAAAGACTGTCAGAATATTTTATGAAAAAAATGTTTCAGGATGAACCTGCCAACATAATCTGCTCAGCTGCACAAGCTACCTGCTGGGACTTCTTCAGACATAACCACCGATTATAATGAAATATCTCAAGAAGAGTCTTTGATTTAGTTTCTCTAGTCTTTTTCATTGCCTTCCAGACTGTATTGGGAGATTTCTTAAATTCCCTAGAGTAGTTTTGGTGAGGTACAAAGGGAAATTGTGTTACATGCTGAAGAGAATTTTCCCCCCTGTAATTATGGTATCACCTAATTCTCAACTTCTTGCCACAATTTCTTGCATCCATTACCTATTGGCGAATGGATCTGGAAATATTTTCCTCACATTACTTGAGTTAAGGGTTTCCCTAATACTGAGTGCTGCAGTGGACTAGTTGCAGCTTCTCAATGCTCCTCAGGGGTCACCCCACATAGAGTGCATTGCAGTAGTCCAGCCGGGAGGCAACTAAGACAAGAGTGACTGTGAACAGGTTTAGCAGCTAAGTGAGGACTTAAACACTGACCTCCATGCCCCACAAAGGGTAAAAATGGGCCTGATTCTTTAGAGTTTAAGTTCAAAGCATCCGTCTCGTCCCTTATTAAAAACCCAAAATCTTTAAAAATGTAAAAATATAAGCCAGTAGTGCCCTTCCCAGAGGTTCTCTGGAAATCCCCAAAGAGATGCTGATGTGTCTACTGGTCTTCTGTGGGCTATCCACTTCTACTTTTAGAACTACTTCTTGCTCTAGTTTTCAAGAATAAAGAAAGAAGTAACAGAAGACAAAGCAATACCCATAGTGACTTGGGATGTTTATGAATTAGAATTATAAAAACAAGCTATAATGCAAAGAGGAATCTTCAGTGTCAGCTATTTGCTAATCCCCCAGCTCTGCCAATTTTCTCTATAAAGATGCAGAAAGACCACTGAGCGTGTTCATGAGTAATGCACATTAGGGAGGTAAATTGAAATTATACTGCACTGCACATTGACAAATATTTTCTCTATTTGGCTATGCTTTCTTTTAACGACTCAAACTCAGTCGTAGGATCAGAATGACATCCAATAGTTATGTAGTTACCAGTTCTGTGAAGCTTGGAGTTATGAATTCTGCATTAAAAAGAAACCTCAAATTGTGGTGACACAGAAATGTTGTATAGATAGGTGTTCTGTAAATTGAGCAGGCTCACATAATGTTAACTAATATTCAAGATTCATATAATTTGTCTAGCTGCAAATTTTGTTGAAAAGGTCTGGCTAAGGCTATAATTCCTTTTCTCTTCCTGCTTTGGTGAAAAGGAATTGTGAATAAAATTAGATTTACGGAAGGAAAGAGAATAGATGCTATTTTTCATTTGTAGAAATGCTTTTTGGCATTTAGTGCATTTTGTCTTGATTAATAGCCCTACTTTCTCAGGCCACTATCATGGTTCTCTTTGTGTATATGTAAATGTTTGTGTATGTGTGTGTGTGTGTGTGTGTAAGTGTTTTTATGCTACTGGTAGTCCTTGACTTATGATAAAATTGAGATCAGAATATCTTTTGCTAAGGAAGGTGGTTGTTAAGTGAGCTGCACCCAATTTTGCAACCTTCTTTATCACAATAGTTAATCAAATCACTGCAGTTAAGTGACTCACACAATTGTTAAGTAAATCCGGCGTCCCCCATTGACTTTGCTTGCTGAAGCAGGCTGGGAAAGTTGCAAATGACGATCATACGACCCCGGGATGCTACAACTAAATATACTGCAAATATACTGTATGTCAGTTGCTAAGCACTCAAATTTTGATCATGGTACTGTGGGGACACTGCGTTGGTTGCAGGGGTGGGATTCAGCTGGTTTGGACTGGTTCAGGTGAAGCGGTAGTTCTGTTGAGCAGTTGGCCCCACCCACCTGCCCCTGCCCTTTCCTGTCCCATATTTCCCTGGTTTTTTAGCTCAGCTGATTCGTGCGGCACAGCAGATTGCTGCGATCAGCTGTTTTACTCACCAGTGCTGACATAGAAGGTAAGTTTTTAAGCTTAAAATGGACGGTTTTTGAACTCTATGCGCATGTGCACGCTCACCAAACCGGTTGTTAAATTGGTTGCATCCCACCATGGTTGGTTGTAAGTGCAAGAACTGATTGTAAATCACTTTTTCCAGTGGCATTGTAAGTTTAAGCGGTCATTAAATGAACGGTAGTAACTCAAGGACTTCAATCAATATCAGGAAAGTTTATTATAAAGCAGGAGTGATGCAGCCCGACCTTATTTCTTTTCCTAACAATGAATTTCATTTTAGGACAACGAGGCATGGAATGTGCTAATAAAATGGAGTTGAACATCCTTATGCATTTTTTTGAGCCAAAATTGATCACGGCTTACGCTCTCACCCCACCCAATTTGGGATTGTATGAGTTACCGAAGATAACTTCTTAAAATAGAAAATCCTGTGTTTTTTTAAAATGAGATAATGTGAAGCATTCTGTTTTTTATAACAGACACATTTCATGGGATTATTCTGACTCTTGTCTTCAGATTATAAAAAGAAATCCATTTTGATGATTGCATTTAATGTTAACATCCAAGTATAACTGTGTAGGAAGAATCTTTGTACACTTGTAGTAAATAGAGAAACCAAGTGCTTAGTGGTGTTTTGGTTTTTTTAAATAGACTTTATGGATGCTATCATCATTTTTTTCTCTTTCATTTTCAGCTGTGGGATCTACTACAGAAATTACAGTTCATAATGACTTATATTGCTCCTTGGCAAATTGCCTGGGGCTCATCTTTCCATGTGTTTGCTCAGCTCTTTGCAATACCTCATATCCTTTTAAGAAAGCTCTTCGGTGTTTTGTTCTGTATTCAGCCTGAGGCCTGTGAGTAATTTATACAGACCACCATTGTTTTGTTTTGTTTTGTTCTTTTTTTTAAGTGCATCATTCCAAGAAGATTAGCTAAGTACAATACTTGGGAAAATGACATCTATGTTATTGAATAGATAAAAGTAAGGTAAGATAGGAAATGAGAAATGTGTTTCATTATTAGTTGTGCAATTGTATATGTAATTAAAAAAGGATAGTAGGTCCCTGATACTTTCACATTGTATAAACAATTTTCTGCCAAGTTGAGAAAAATCTTTTCCCCCTTTTAAGGTTTCATATTTACATACTAGATGAAATACTTCCTAAATGATAGGGAAAATGCATTTTAAAGGTTACAGTACTCTGGCAGATTACATTGTATTTATTTTTTCTTTATTGGGAATTTGCAAGCCTTTTTTCCTTTCATTTCAGGTGAACATTTGTATGGGTTGAATCTTTGAATATGTGTGCATTTAAAAGCACTATTTTTAAGAAAAACCTGAGATAGCAGTATTAACCTCAAGGATAAATATTCAACTTATTAGAGGCAGAGAAACCTGTAACATTTACATTAGTTGCTCATTTCACTATTTGGTATGGACTTCTCCGAGAGTTTTGCTGCCTTCCACTAATCTTTTCCATTTGTTTCCTGTGCCTTTCCCCCCTCCTACACTTAATGATGACTTTCTGTCCCAAATTACCATGAATTATGAGTTCATTGTGTTGTAGCTTCAATATTTTCATTACATCAAATTCTAAATAATCAGAGTTCTTCTTTAGTTCTTACGCATTACTTTGTTGCATCTATCTTGGGAAGGAAACTAAGTAAATCAGGAGGCACCTAAAGGACATTGTAAAATCCAGTGAATTTACTATTTATGCTACCTTAACTTGAAGTTTTCAGACTCTGCAATGCTTTTCTGTCAGACTCTGGCCACTGCAATCTTTTCTACCCCCTTGAGTCCATTTCTAGGGAGTGTCATTTTTCTCACATCATACGCCAGACCAGTCAAGTTCTGGGAAAGAAATTACAAGTAAGATAAAAAGTATTATAAATGTATTCTCTTTTTTATTCAAAATGTGGGGTTTAAACGAAATGTAGTTCAAAATATCCTAGAGCTTTCTCTAGACTATGGGGATTACTTTACTCCTTTTGTGATTGTTCATGATACCTTTCACTAATGGTTTTTGATGGCATGTTAGCCATTTTTTTAAAAAAAATTGTATATTAAAACCCCCAAAAAGGGGGTGGGGGGGGGGGGGGGGG